GTAGTTAATATCATAGACGCTACGTTTTGACTATTAAAGAAATTGGGCTACGATAAGAAATTGGTTTGTGAAGCTAACCTGAGAGCACATTCCTCTATTAATTCTACAATCTGTCCATGGATTGATTAATCCAGACCTGCTCTTTCCTTATAATTTCCTTTACTGAAATGTATTGCTCCATTTGTTATAATGTACTTGAGGACAGCCTGGTTGTACTTGATTGGGTAAACTATTTAATCTCTTAATACATCAATTTTCTCATCTGTAAAAGGAAGGCAATAATTTACCTATCAAAGTTATAAGGATCACACCTAGTGTTTTATAAATATTAACTGCTAAAATTTTTGTTACTTCTGTTTTCGACTTCTTAATATATTGCTTTTTCTATGATGACCTGAAATTTTTCTCAATCTAATTATCAAGAATTGTAGTGCTGCTTCTGATTGGGTTTCAATGTTGTGGTTATTATGACTTATGTACCTATTTATAATAATCTTTATGTTGGATATTAGAAAGATTAGATTCAAATTTTAATTGTTCTTACAGTATGCTTTTTGAATACTATCTTTTCTTCTTTGTTTCGTCTTTCTTTGTTTAGTTTTCTTTATCCATTGTTGTTTAATTTTATAATACATTATGTTAGATATTTTTGCAAGCTAACTTAAATACTTTCTGAAACTTCTGGATTTATGTGTGTGGTAAATATAAATATATATGTATACATATAAATGCTTATATGTATAAGTATACATACATATTGTTTTAAATCTGGTTGGGTAGTATTATATATACAGTTTGATATCTTACTTTTTCTGTGATCATTTCAGTGTCTTGCCACAAAAATTATATATGCATTATAATGCAATTTAAAAAATTTTCATATCAATATTCACATTTAATGAGAGTAGCCAAAGTTTATACACTAAAAATATTCTATGTTAGTTTTCTTTGTAAATGACATTATAACTTGAAATAAATTCTAATCTGATTCTAGCTACTCTATGCACAACCACTTTATGCAGTTATTTTATTTGGCTAATAACTTACATCTGGGTTTCTCAAGAGGGTTGTAGAAAAATTAGCTTGGACCATTCAAAAATCCTAAAAACAATTAAGGCATATAATTACTTTAGGCTTCAAATCTATATTTTCTGGTACATTTCATGTAGTTGTTATTTTCAGTAGGGTTTTTCTGTTGTAAAGGAAAAGAGCATAATTTGATATGACATAGACTCTTAGATGTGTGGATGTTTTCTAGGGATCTGAATGAAGGTGAGTTGTTGAAGCTAAACAATGATATCTTTAACAGAACTAGATTTTATGTCCTGTTGTTTTAAATTTTTTAAGGAAATGCAGAAAGAGGAAATAGTTTGGACTCTATGATATCATTAGTGCTATTTTTATTCTCTTAAGTTCAAAGGTTTCAGAGATAAGATGTATGCAAAAATGGTACATTCATCTTCCTTGATTTTTATTACTGTGATTTCTGAATGAAAAAAATGTTTGCTTTACAACTTACTGAAGATCTGTGCATGCAGACAGGAAGAATGAAGAAATTATCATAATCATATAATTATATGTATATTGTATATATAATTTCCATCAACTCCATGATACAGTATATGTTAAAATAAATTAAAAAATTAAAATAATATCAGGGAACTAAAAACCAGATAGCTTATATAACCATTTGAAAATGGTGTTAACTCTGTCTTAAAGATGGGCATATTACCTGAAATTAATTCATTCCTATTATGATGAAAATGTTCTGTTAATTAGATTTGATTAGGTATGGCTGTTCTGTAAATGTTTAGTTTGGTCTCCTTGCATTCTCATACATTGAAAATACCTTTGGCATGATTGAAAATAACTTCTCATTTTAACCAATATTGGGAAAAATAGGGCCAACTATTTCTTTAAAGAAAAGCTGTAATATTTTTCTTTTAATGTAGGATCTTATTTATGAAAACCAACAGCTTGTATTAAACTGAATACCTTTTTCCTCTCAGGAGGGTTTTTATTTTAATGTAAAGATATATTAGAAACAAAGAATGGCTCTGTAACAGAGTATGCAGAGAATTTAGGTGATAGAACTGAACTGAGCTATCATCAGTCTGAAGTTTGAAAAAAGGAAGACTATTTCTGGTCAGTAGTTGTGGTTGGCAGTAATAGTGTTGCACTAATTGATCTGTTACAGCTTGTTGTACAGCAACAAATAATTATTTCACTTTACTTCAGGAAGTATAAGGTTGTCTCCAGCTGCTGGGTTGGAAAAGAAGAGGTTGATGTATTAGTTGCTTTTTCATCATCTTTATAGATTACTTATAGGTAAATGTTTACTTGCTTGAACGAGGCAAGTACTGTAAACATTGTGTGAATTAACAAGATATTAAAGTACTTTGGAATCATGACCATTTGAAATAGAGCTTTTTCATATCTTTCACAGTATTGTGATTCAGCCTGTGATGGTGTAAGAATAAAAAGTTCCCTCTATTGAATTTTTTTTTTTTAAATGTTACCAGTTTCTACCCTCAGCACCATAGGACTCTGAACCTCTTAAGCCAAAGTTATGACATTCTTACCTCCTTTTCCTGGGCCTAAGAAAGAGACCAGAGATGAATTGGGCCCAGATATCATCTGTTTTTAGTCTGGAACTCAGATTTTCAAAATTAGCATCCATTTCTTTGCGAAGATGACATCAGTGGGATTCCCTCTGTGCCTCCATGCCACCTTCTCTCTGAATTCCAGCAGCGTTTAAAAGAAACAAGGCCTACTCTTTTCTTATTTTTTCACCTTACTCTTAATTTATGCTATTTTTGTGCATTCAGTATATCTTTGTACAATGCATACATCTTGTTAGAATAAGGGTGTGAAAAAATAAATGAGGCAAAGATTCACATTAACTTAATGTCTTATAAAGCAGTATCCTCCTGGGAGACACTTCAGCTCTACCTTGTGATGTTAATAAAAAGCAGGTAGGTTAGATGTACTCAGCCATTATCTTTATGGTGGTGGGGCCTAGGCTTATGTGTTTTTCAAACTTTTGCAGCTATTTCTGATATGTATCTTTGATTTTGAGCCACTATGATAAAACATGGTTTTTTTTTGAATTTTAATGCAGACCAATATAAATTATTTCTTTCACAAACCATGCCACTGGTATTATGCTTTAAAAGTTACTACCAAATCCAATCATCTAATAGTCCCCTGTTGCTTCTAGAAATCTTACAGTCTTATAGTTTAAGTTTAGTCCATGATCCATGTTGAGCTAATTTTTCAAAGTGTAGAGTCTGTGTATAGATTTCTTTATTTATTTGTAAAACATGTTTTTGTTTTACTTTTCTAGGATCTAACTGTATAATGAATTTTTTCTGGAATAATTAGTATTGAGAGTTTTAGCTTTACTTGTTTTTATAAATTTCAAAAGATTTTATATATTTGTGTATATATATATATATATATATATATATATATATACTTGATTTTAAAAATAATTTCATTATGAATATGTCCCACAAATTTTTTTCATTTTTGTCCTGTTTTTTTTTTGCAGAGCAATCCATTTACTGTTCGATAGTACAGCCAAGAGTTGGAATGAATTCATTCCCACTGTACACCCAGTGGGGATGAGTTTAGTTTTGGCTATTGTAACTTTAATTGTAGCATAGAGTGGTAATACTCAATAGTTTATATTAAATTTAAAATTCATAGTTGAAGAATTAAATGAAATTATTAAAAGAATAGGCCAAATTTGAATAATATATCTAAACCAGCTTTTTAAGGCTGTGGGAACTTGCTCAGTTTGAATGGTACTGTTTTTTAAGTGTCTTTAGTTTCAGTACAAGCCTGTTCGTTTTTTTCTTTTTTTTTGTCAGTACTAGGGTTTGAACTCAGGGCTTACACCTTGAGCCACTCCACTAGCCCTTGTTAGTGATGGGTTTTTCGAGGTAGGGTCTCATGAACTGTTTGCCTAGTCTGGCTTTGAAATGTGATCCTCCTGATCTCTGCCTCCTGAGTAGCTAGGATTAGAGGCATGATCAACTGGTGCCTATTCATATTTCTGAAATCAATACCTTTTTAATAGAAAGAACACTGAAGTAAATAAGACTTACATTTTAATCTTAGTTTCAATACAGATTTGTTGCCAAATAAATGTAAACAAATTCTTTAGTTTTTATCTGCTTAACACTTGGAGTAGTTATCACAGAATTTTCAAGAGACTTTCAGTTTTTGGATAAAAGTGACCATGGATGTTTAACTTTTATTTGATGTAAGTGGCACAAAATATATCTGAAGCTGATAACAGAAAAGAAATCATCATCAACGTTATCACATGCAAGAACAAAATTGTTCATATTCTATGGTTCCAGTGTTTTTACAGTAGATAGATTTTATATACGACAACTATTAATAGTTTGCTTGTCTGCTTTACTATTTTAGTGCTAGCACATTGTGTGCGTTTTTAAAAACTGCTTATAAGTGCCTTGCTATTGTTTCCCAATTCCTGTACCTCATCTGATGACTGTCCTCCTCTGCTTCCTCCATTATAAGGCTCTTTGATGGCCCTTGCATGGCTTTTCAGGAGAACCCATCAACTGGGTATACACCTCTGAGAATTGAGTTTGTGTGGTCTCTCATTTTAAAATGGAATTAACACATTTTGTTCCCTCCAAGGAGTACAGCTGGTTGAGTTAAATTCTATTAAAATCAGGTGAAAATTATTGCCGTTATTTAAATGAACATTTTAAAAGAGGAGGAAAGTGCTAAATGAAAGAAGGGGGTGGGGATCTGTTACTCTTACTATATGTGAATGTAATAGGGAAAAAATTAAAGCTTTGTGAAGCTCTTTCTCTTTGGTGAATTTGAGAAGATGGCTTCCAAGTTGTTTATATAAAGTAGTATGTGCAGAGGGAGTTGACTATAGAATTAAACAAGCTACCATCTGTGTCTTAAAAATTAATTCCATGTTTTGTTTGCTGGATGGTGGGGATTGGATTTAGGATATGACAGCACGTGATCTGCTGCAGCAGAGATACACTCTTCCCAATGGAGACACTGCCTGGCGATCCTCACCCCTTGTGAATGCTGCTCTGGAAGGCAAGCTGGTCCTGTTGGATGGCATTCACCGGGTCAATGCTGGGACACTTGCTGTGTTGCAGAGGTGTGTATGAGTTGCACATACACAACACACCCCAGAACACACACACACACCATGCTGACTTCACAGGTGACAAGCAACACTGTCAGTCTTTTCTTAAAACTGGATTATGTAGCTCCTGAGAAGCTCATAATTCTGTATCTAAGTGGAATGATAGATTGTTTATTATTACAAGCACATAACTATAAAGCTCCATATAATAAACACTTTGGGAAATGCCATTGCCATAACAGAACTCTCTTTGTAAAAGCTGAAAAAAAAGAAAACTTTGCAGTAGTAATTTTGAAGGACTTTATATATGCAGATTTACATATATATGCAGCAGGTCACACAGCTGAAGTTCCTACATTTTGGCAGTAGTTACAAATTCCTTATAGATTGACGTTATTGGTTCATCTTAGAATCTTTCTTTTTTGAGATAAAATAATCAAGTTTTAATATAAAATGCGAAATTATCTATTTGATGATGCCATAGTGACTAGAAAATCTCACTTTGTAGGTATAAACTTGAACATTTCTATAACCAGTTTTCTTATTGTAGTTGGGTGAGAAAAAATATGCACACATTCCTAAAACGTCTCTAGAAGTTCTCATCAGAGAAGAAAATTCATATGCAACTTTGAGGAAAATGTTCATCATGTGTCATTCTGGAAGATTAATTAATTATTTAGGGTCATTTTGGTTCTATGACTTGTAGACATTTGATTTATAACTTTGACTTATTGGGAAGGGTCAAATAAATAGAATAGCCATTTTTCTAACTAGTGACTCAAAGTTTTTGTCTTTGACAAGGTGCAAATACTGAGTATAATTAAAGATTTCAAATACACTGTGTTAATTCTAATTAGATTTGGGCATACTTAAAAGTAATAATCACAAACTTTCAGTAATTTGCATTTCATAAACATATTTTTTATTTCCCAAACAAATGATGACATAAAATGAAATAATACATAGTCCCATTTTGTTGCCTGTCTTTCAGCTGTCTGGCCGGGTAGAAATACTAGCAGTAGCAACAGCGATTGTTAATTGAATACTTATCTGTGTGGGGCATTGTGTCAAACCTGTGCTTCTCAGGCCTTCAACTTTGAAAGCACGTTACAGGATGGGAGTTTACAAATACCAATACCTGGCCTTCCCCACTACAAATTTTGATGTAATTGGTTCAGATTGAGGTTTGAACCCTACATTTTTTAATGATTCCCAGAAGATCCTAATGTACAGTCAAGATTGAGAACAACTATTATTAAACACATTTTATATTAAACATTTAATTTTTACAACAAATATGATGTTCGTATTACTGCATTAACTTTATAAAAAATAAAAGTGCAGAGACATGGAATGATTCTCTCCTCCCTGGTTATTCAGCAAGTAAGACACAGAGGTAGAATCGAACCCAGATACAACTGATTCCCTTGTCCTTTTCTATAAGCTCTGCATTAGTCTCCTTCCCCTCAGTGCCTGTAGAATGAAGGCTTGTTTGGCACCTCTAGGGTCAGCATTAGGTGACTTGGTTGCTAATGTATGTGTAATATTGCAGTACCTGGAAGACAGTTCTGTTTGTGGTGTGGAGGGTTAGGTTACCATCAGAGTTGGAATATGAAATAGGAGTGTAGTTATTTCATCATAAGATTTTTTATATCTTAAATCCTATAATTCTAAAGATAGAATTCTTTTATTAATGCCTTCCCTTAAAAAGTTACATTAAACTCAGGGGTATGTGCTGGCTGCCTTGCTCATGAATGTATTCCTCACGGTTATCATAAGACACTCATTCAGCAATTTCTTTTCACTTTCTCCTTCTCTTCTCGTCCTTTCCCTCTCCTTTGTTCTTCTTACCCACATCTAGTATTCCTGAGTGCTGAACCAACAACTCTGCCATGTATCACAGTCCCAGCCAACTTAAACTTTTGAAAGATCCATCTAACAAAATTGTTAAACTCAACTGTCAGCAATAATAGACATCATTAAAATGTTGACTGGGTGATTCCACCTCTAGTAGTGTCAGTGTTCAGAACTGATTAACTTGTTTGCTGATATTACCCTTTTTCCATTAGGTTAATCCATGACCGGGAGCTCAGCCTCTATGATGGGTCTAGGCTTCTGAGAGAAGACAGGTACATGCGCTTAAAAGAGGAACTGCAAATGTCTGATGAGCAGCTGCAGAAGAGGTAATTTTGAATTCACTTATCATTAACTTATTGCTAAACTAAAAACAACTGATCATTATTTTTCTAAACCTAAGGTCAAACCAAACTAACTTTGGTTTAATTTGGTATCCTGGGCATAGTGATAGTCAGACACTTCCTAGAACTGAGGCTGCTGTCCAGGCTTCACCCTTCTCTCTCAGTCTTGTTTTTAAATAAATGTCTAAACTTTGGTTTTAAGAACTTAATCCTTCCTCTATTAGTTCAGCTTTGATCTCATGTTGTGTATCCCACCCAACAAAAGCTGGGCCCACAATTAATTGTGCCAACCCTCCTAGGACATCCTCAGTATTACCAGGGAGGACACCCATTACAGCATTTCCCATTGAAACTTATTTAAACCTCCTTCCAGAGATGTAACAAGCAAATGCAATGGGTGAGATCTGACTGGATCTTGGAACAGGAAACAAAATGAAAATGGATGTAAAAGACAGTTAGAAAAGGTTAAGTGTGATCTGTGTATATCTGGCACGATAGTGAGTTAATGTTAATTTTCTTAAGTGTGTCATAATGGATCTCAGTTACAAAGGAGAATTTTCCTGTTCTTAGGAGATACTTCTGAGATATTTAAGGAATGAAGTTTTAAAAAAACATCTGCAACTTCCAGTTATTTCAGAAAAAAAAGAAAAAGACATGGGCATATGCATACAAACACACAGAGAAAAATCGAATGAGAAGGAAAACAGAATGTGGTCAAATCTTAAAAACTGGAAAAATCCAGGTGAAGGAAATAGGAATGTTTGTATTTTATTCTTTTAAATTTTCCATGGATTTGAGAATTTTAGAATAAAATGTTTGAAGGAAATATATATATATATATTTATATGTACACTTTTTTTTAGCTGCATACACTTTCTCTTAGAGGAGGTTTGGCAGACATCAGTTATTTTTGATCTCGTTACATTTCTATGGCTAGCTTAACATAATGAGAGACTGGCATATTAGGGTCTCCTCTTTACTTAATCTGACCTTACTTAATTGAAGCTTCCCCTGTCCCTGAAAGGCTTATTGCCATATTTAAAATGAGAAAGTCCTACAAATGAGAATGAAGTGTTTTGAGTGTCTGTTTTCAGAGAAAATTAATTTTTAAAAAATACTTGCATTTTTGTCTTGGAAGATGTTAAGCTCTTTGGAGGGGAAATGTTAAATTTTTTCTGTATGATATTAAGGATTTCAGTTGACTACACAGTTGCTTATTCTTCTGAGGAGTACACTATCAAATTCCTCTTCCCCAGAAAATGACTTGGTTGAACATTTAAGCAGACAAGTTGTAGAGATCCTTCTCAGTTCATACCTTTAGTTCAGAACATTCAGCTTTTGTACATTATTTGCGTGTGAATCACAGGTCAGGGAAGAGTTTATACTTTCAGACAGATGAGTCAAAGCAATTGTGCAAGAGCTCACAGCAAGCCTGCCTAGCAGTTTTCCTTAGGACACCAGGAGCATTGTACTTGTGCCAAATATCCAGGAAATGACAATGCTCTTCTATGAAAAGGATCCAAATTCTCCCTAATGGTCACAGCAGTTTTGCAAATGAAAATACTTTTGGGGACATGGTGGCTCTGATTGTCATGTTCAGCGTCCAGTCCTGGTGGTCAGTAGTACTTTCTTCTCACCATGAGACCCAGCTCACCTCTCTCTCCAGAGATCACTGTTTGAAAGTGCAGTGAGACCTTAGTGATTTTTGCTTTCCTTCACATACTTTTTAAGATTTTTGTTTGATTGTTTGCCAGTGTTAAATATGAATAAAACTTGAGCCAGATAGATTTTTTCAAAACATTTTATGAAAAATACCAGTCCCCTGCCATTGATTCTATGACCGTATCTCATTTCCTACTTCTCACCCCAATAGACTAACACCTTCAAGTCTTAGATGTTTTCTTTGGTATTTACCTCTGTGTCACTAAGCAATATGCTTTTATTGATATTTGATTTATATTTTAATGTTAGAAATTATCTATTGATTTCCTACATAGAAAAATTAAGGCTTAGGCCTTTGACCACCTCTCTTCTTACAATACATGCATACTTCCTCCTTCTTCCTAAAGAGTTGTATAATTTTGTTTAGAACTTTGCTCAGTCTTTATATAGTTATAATACCATTAAGAACATACAAAGCTGAGCCACTTGTATACTGTAATCATTTTCCCTTCATATATACATCTTGTTTCTCCCAAAGTTAGTAATTACCTACATATGCAGGACAGAGATGTAAATAAATAATTACAATGTAGCTTTAGTGAATTTTTTTTTTCTCTCTCCTTTTTAGTGAAAAAGGGTTTGAGCTCAGAGCTTTGCACTTGCTAGGCAGGTGCTCTACCAGTTGAGCCACACCTCCAGCTACAATGTAGTTTTAAATGTTAGAATAGAGGTCTGTACAATAATGCTGTGAGAACACCAAGGAGGAGGTGATGCAATTTTCTATGTATATATCACTTTTTCATCCCAAACATGTTTCCTGTTGTTGAAATCTACCCTCAGCATATTAAAGTACATCCCATATTTATCAATACATATTCTATCAATTTCATATTTTGTCTTGTCTATTCTGACAAACCCTAATCTGGACTTGTTGCTCTTTATACTTGTAGCTCCTGTGTCATCTTAGACCTCTTTCTGCTCTCACTCTCCTGGTTTCGTGTGGTCTTTCTTTCTGTACCTTTTAGTACTTACATGTATGTTGAGCCTTCTGGGCTGAACTTCCAATTTTCAATTCTTCTCTCTGTCTCTTTATCTCTCTCTCTCTCTCTCTCAGTGCTGAGGATAAAACCCAGGGCCTTGCATCTGCTGGGATACATCCCTAGCCTCTTACATTCTCTCAATTTGTTGGGCCTACATTAGCTTTTCAGAAGCAATATGTTCTAACAATGACTCTCTTACCTTGTCAAGAATATGTCTACTACTTAAAAACCTGATTCTTTTCCTTATCAGTATTCCTCATTTGTACTCAAGAAGCAATATTTTCTTTCTATTTTTCAGCACTGGGGTTTGAACTAGGACCGCACACTTGCTGGGCAGGCGCTCTTACCACTTGAGCCACTCCACCAGCCATTTTTCATGATGAGTTTTTTCAAGATAGGGTCTCGTAAACTATTTACCTGAATATTGTCATATGATTGTAAATAGTTTTGACGTTGTTGTTAAATGCAGTCATGTTACAGGATCTGCTTCACTCTGATGGTATGGGTTACTGGTAAATTTCTTTATTTTTTTCTTGATTTAATTTGGTAACTCATTTTTATCTTTCTGAGAGTAAATATATTTTCTTTTTTGATCATAATCAGCTAGATCCTTCTAAGTCAGTTGGCAGTATTTCATTCAGGTCTGTGTTTATTGGATAACAGCTTGTTACTGCATTTATTGCCTAACAGCTTGACAAAAAGGACATAATACAGTACAAAAAAATTTGTACTTAATTATTTTGTAATTAAGTACAAAAAATTTGTACTTAATTATTTTGTAATTAAGTACAAAAAATTTGTACTTAATTATTTTATGAGTTGTTGTGTACATGACCCATTATCTAGCGTGACTTAATTATTTTGTAATTAAGTACAAAAAATTTGTACTTAATTATTTTATAAGTTGTTGTGTACATGACCCATTATCTAGCGTGACTTAATTATTTTGTAATTAAGTACAAAAAATTTGTACTTAATTATTTTATGAGTTGTTGTGTACATGACCCATTATCTAGCGTGACTTAATTATTTTGTAATTAAGTACAAAAAATTTGTACTTAATTATTTTATGAGTTGTTGTGTACATGAACCATTATCTAGCATGAGTTGATCCTATGTGCTATCTATATCTAATATGTCCCTCTCAGCATTAGCATTTAAACTACAAATTAGAAACTCATGACCCAGATTATCTGTCCTTTCATTTTTGTACTTAATCACAGAACTGAAGTTCAGTAAAATGACTATTTTCATAGAATTAAAATAAACTCAGTTTTTATTTTTATTAATGCTGTATTTCCTTGCAGAAGATTTTAAGGTAGAGAAAAAGGTCAAAGATAGGATGACAAAGAAAGTTTGTCTTTTGTTGTTTCATGGAAAGGTGTTGGAGGGATGAGGGCAGTAGTCAGGGGTGGTGTGACAGTTAGAAATGCCTATCAGAAGGAATAGCATCCACAGTCTTGCACAAATAAATAAATCTACTCCCAAGAGATCAGGATTCTAAGAACAACTGCTATTAATTTGTGGAACAATACCTCCTGAGAGTTGACTTCAAAATTCTTGTTCCAAATACAGTGATTGGGTGATTTGTCAAACTCAACTACTGTAATGGCGATGCAGACTTAAGAGCATCTTTGTCTCTAGATCCAATTTGGTAAATTTGATACCTGCTTCTGCTTTCATAATTGTGTTTGTTTGTGGAACTTTTTGTTTTTTTAAACACCTCTAGCACCGTAGAACTTCTTTTGTTAAAAGTAACAAAACATCCAAGTTGTTTTAAAAAGGAATTTATCAGTATCTCACATAGTTAAATGAAGGGCAAGGATGCAGTTGGGCCTCAGGAAATAACTAGAAGCTGAGACTTTAATGTTGGCAGAACTCTGTCTTGCTTCTGTACTTCGTTTCTTTGTTTGTAATGTCACAAGATGTGGCAAATGGAAGACTACTTAGTAAATGTTTTTGAGTGAGTGAATAAGTCTTAACCTGGGAAAAAGTTTAGAAAATTCAGGTGAAGTTTATTCTATTAATGCAGTTTTAGATGACTTTCTGGGCTAACAGTATTAATTAGGAATACTTTGATACCCTTTAATGACAAGTCTGATAATATAAGGTTCTGTTTTTAACAGCTGCCGGCTGTGGGTACCAATCCTTTCAACTTCATGGGGTGAAACCCAGTTTCAAAACAACCATATTTGACTGTTTTTGCAGTTGTCATTGTTTACTAATTCTTCCCCAAGATCATACACCTTGATAATCTTCAGAGTGCTCTGTGGGTGATTATATGCCTAGCACACCTTTAGAAATGTTTAAATCTTCTGTACTTGCAAGATACCAAAAAGGCATGGAAGTGGTGGTTAGAAATAGTGTATGACCACACATACCAGATACCAACCATCCTTGCATTTCTTCCAGGAAAAAAGGATCAAAATAGAACTGCTTTCTTTAATGAGAAAAACGTATTTTGGAGAAAAAGGGAGTGCAATTATTACCAGATAGTAAATGTGTCTCTTGCTGCTGATGGCCAAAGCAGGGAAGCAATAAAGATCAGTGGTCTATTCTTGGTTATACTTAGATATCGTTTAATATTTTAGTATTTTTGTTAAATGTTTTATTTTTATTGGTTGTTATTGAACATTGAAAATAGTTGACAATTTCTCACTTTATTGATTCATGATGAACATTTGGAATATCCATAATAAATTGGATTCTCTGGACCCTTTTGCTTTAATGCTTACCCATGTTTAAAGACAATTGGCATCTAAATATTTTCTTCTGTCTTCTCAGAAATGCCAGCATTTCTTTTCTAATAAAGTAGGCCATGCAAAATTTTAACACAATTCGAGATAAATCCAAGATTTTATCCTCAGGTCGTTGTGTTTGATTCTCAGAACAAAAAGCCTTACGGAAATTCTGACTTTGCAAATAATTCTGAACATTTTTATGGTCAAGGAACAGTTTTTAAACTCTGTCCCATGTAGGGTGTAATTTCTGTTTTATTGTATGTTCTGAATTTTTCTTAATCATGGAATGTAGCTCCTCTCACAAATTCATTTAAGACAAGATTTAGGCTAGCTTTTTGATGGGAGACCAGTATTTTTAGTTCTTATCATTTACCTACATTGTCCTTTTTACCAGAGGTCTTCAAGGAGTGTCTTACTGTAATTACTATTAATAGTAGCAATACACATTTATTTATATAGCATCTGCTTCCTTCCCAGTAGTACACTAACTCTTGTGTGGTATGAAAATGCATTAGGAAGGTGTCTGTGCAGCTTGCTTCATTGAATAGGAAAAAAGGGAAATTTGGCTTGTGTGTAGAACTGTGTGTAATGTCAAAGTTCTGAATTGGAACAGGAGTAGTAGTGTAGTACAGAGGGCCAATTCCAAAATCCTGTTCTAGCTCATGATTAATACCATTATAGAAATCTTGTATATCATTCTTTCTAGTTCATTAATATATATTCAGTAAAAATGCACTGCATAATTCCCTTCAAAAGACTGCAATTTATTGAAGTCTTTCATTTTTTTATTAAAAGCTTTGTTGAGGTATAGTATAGCTAACTTGTAGTAAACTGCATATTTTAAATATAGTTTGATAATTTTTGATATTTATATATACCTGTGAAACCATCACTACAATGTAGATGAGTGTGAATCCTCAGACCCCTGTATAATAATCCCTTTCTCCTGCCCCTTCTTACTTCTCTCCTGTCCCCAGAGATTTTCTTCTGGTCACTATCTATAGCTTGGATTTTCTAGTTTTGTGTAAATGGAATTACACTATTTATACTCTTGTTTTGTCTAGCTTCTTTTCCTCCATTGCTTTGATATCATCTATGCTTTTTATCAATATTCCATTTTATTGCTGAGAGGACTAGAAAGGATTTTATTTTCTAAAAGCTTATACTTATGCCCACAAACATATTAACCCAGTATTTTCCTTTTAGAAGTCATTTTAAAGTCCTTGTTTTGCTTTTTAAGTCTTGAATCCTTAGGAAATAATATCTGTTTACCTAAGGGTAAGTCTTATCTTTGTCATTTGTTGTTGTTTTGTTGGCATTGTTCTTAAATGATCATAAAATTAAACTTAACTTTAATTTTAGATTTTCATATCACCTTTTTCCCATTTTTTTTTTTTCTTTAGACAGGGTCTCACTATGTAGCCCAGGCTGGTTTGTCAAATCACTTAAAGTACCAGGCAGCTGTGTTCTCTAACTTTCAGACTTGGGGCATTTAGCATCAGGAAGTAGCTCACCAATAACCTATCTGTATGCAAGGAAGGCTTCATGGAGAACCTAGAAAACAAAAAGGTCTTTCTCATCCTGTTGTTTTGTCCTTGGTGACTGTTTGCTGTCAGCATGCACTTGTCTCTGTCCAAAGGATGAACTGTCTCAGAAATTGTTCCTTCAGAATTGTGAGTCAATAGTAAAGAGTAAGGCCCCAAGCAATGACTCTCACTTGATTTAAATTCAAACCACCTCATTGCTCTCATTTTAATGGCTATTCTATTCCTGACTTTATAGCTTAGTTGTGGTACCTGCTTCCTTCTCTCTTGGTTTAAGAACATGAATTGGACTTCCTCTTTTGGCTTGCCTGTTAGATTTTGGCTTTGTTTATCCCCTGACTAGCCCTTCCCCACTAATGTAAGTGAGAAACTACATCTGCAGCTTTAATTTTATGAGGCCAGACCAGGCTCTTTATTCTCCCACCTTCTTTTGTCCCAGGAGTTAGAAGGATCATAAATGAATTCAATATATGTCTCTGGGCCTTGAGGCAGAGGCAGTCACCTGGATTGTAGCAAACCACTTAACAGAAAAGTAGAAAATGGAATAACCATTAGCTTTCAGATTTCAGGATTTCCCATGTCCAGTTTCTGGTATGTAACTAATCACTAGCCATCCTGAGTAACTGTGCCAACCTCAGAAGATTCTGGCACTGTCATTATTGCTACCCTTCCCTGTTTTCCCAGAACAACTTTTTGGAACAAACCATCCCCCAAGTTCTACTGGAATATAAATATATCTCTTTTTTTTAACCTAGAGAAATGATATGATATCTGGTAGCTTTTATGAATTCATTCAGATCTCTCATATGGCCATTTCTAAAATTGCTTTTCAAACCTAGTTTACAATTTATGATGTAACCTCTAGAATCATAGATTATCCATCCTGGGACTCAGTGTGGACCTGCCCAATGTATTGATATAACTTTCTCTTATCTGAACTCCTCAAAGTACTTGTCAGATTCTTCTCATACATGTCCTATCACCTGATAATTCTAGCTGCCTAATTACTTAACTCTTGGGTTCTAATATAATAGCTTAATGATGAAATGCCAGTGATATATCTGTTTCTGAAAATCCAGGCAAGTGTTTGAGTTTTATCCCTCTTTTCTCTCAGCAAGAATTATATTACTATCCAAAAGCATTTTTCTGTTGGATTTTTGAGTAGAACTCATAAAAACTGACACTATCACCCACATGATTAGATCATCTAAAAACAACTTAAGATATTTCATTAATCATGGGAGTCTTACCTTTCTCCTAGATGTCCTAGAATGTTTACGACCTTCCTCGTATTTCCTAGCAGAGATTTTTTAAGAGACTGCTTTAAACATCATAACATTTACTTGAGTGTGGTTGCTCACAACAGTAATCCTAGCTACTAAGGAGGCAGAGGTAGGAGGATTGTGGTCCAAGGTTAGTCATGGCAAACGCAGGAAATCCTATCTGAAAAACAAACTAAAAACAAAAGGACTGAATAGTGTGTTTCAAGTGGTGGTAAAATGCTTGCTGTGTGTGGCCCTGAGTTCAGTCCCCAGTAGAGCCAAAATTAGAAAAGAAAAGAAATGAAAAATCATATTCTCATAACAATGACAAAAGTGATTTATGTAAAGGTTTAATTTTCTTTAACTTTTTAAGACCTAACTGTTCTTTTGCTGATCTAAATTATTAATCCAATCCCATATGCTGCTTAAAATTTCTATATTTCAAACAGTGTATTTAAATAGTGTATGATGCTTCTTGGTCTTTCTATGACTGATAGAGTGAGCTCCTTGGAAGATTTTGAGGGGATTTTAGATAGGTAGGTAGATAGATAGGTAGATAGATAGATAGGATCTATGAACTGGATGTGATTTTATTTCAAGGGACTTGGGAAATTTTATTGTAGGAATAACAACATACCAAATGCAGCAGTTCGTGTGAGGGCTGGAATTGCATAAGTGGATACTGTACAACATTTATTAGTAGTAGAAGCTTATCTAAAGATCCTAAAAAATGAAATATCTTTTTTTTCAAAGCCCATTCTTTGAATAACAGTTTTGACATTGTTAATAGAATGACAGTCGGCTTATCATTGCCTAGGCTTCAACTACCATGACCTAATTTCTAATGTGGAAGGCTTATGTCTTCTTATTTTTCTCCACTTTCAGATCCATTTTTCCCATTCACTCCTCCTTCAGAATCATTGCTTTGGCAGAACCCCCTGTTATTGGAAGCCCAACACAGCAGTGGCTGGGACCAGAATTCTTAACCATGTTCTTTTTCCATTATATGAAACCACTTGTCAAAAGTGAAGAAATCCAAGTGATTAAGGAAATGGTAAGAGCCTAGTGTCTAAAGCTGTTCTCTTATTAAAGAATGTTGGAGCAGAGTTTAACATTTTTGCCTTTTTCGCTCACATTTTTTCAGATAATGGTTTAGGTCAGTGATTTTCAAACCTTCACATTTTTCAAGGTCATCTGGAGGGCTTGGTAAAACACTGATCTCGGTTCCATCTTCATAGCTTTGGAGTCAGTAGGTGGTACATGACAGTGTGCATTTCTGACACATGCAGATGGTGTTGGTCTTGGAGCACACACTTGGAACATCACAGATGTAGGCTGTTTCTTTCCTACCTTTGTATGGAGGAAGTTTTGTAATTCCTTTTGCTTTTATACTCAACCAGAGGTGTCTATAAGTTCCTGCTGTAAGAGTGGCCAAATGTGCCTTCTTTAGATTTTGTAGAAAATACTGTTGTCCCAGTCACCTCATGGTTGTAATAAACCTTGTATTCACATGACTAGTCATTTGGTGGCTTCTAGTGTATGTGTGATGCATTATTTCAGTGTCTGCTCTTTTGGAGCTCTGGACCTGAATTATTCATTGTAACAATACTAGCCACATTTAATGAAAAATTTTAAAACTCAGTTTCTCAATCACATTTCAAGTGTTCATTAGCCACCTAGGGCTTTTTCGCTACTGTGTTAAACTGCAGAGATAAAGAAAATTTCCATTATTATAGAAAGTTGTATTGGACAGTGCTGTTCTAAATCACTAATAAGTAAATAACACTTTACATAAATATATTCATTCCCTTTGAAATACTACATGAACTGCTTGTTTTTAGATTTTGTTGTAAGCATGGTTGTAGGTAAGGGTCCAAATGTCAAATTCTAAATGTCAAATTCCCACTGCCTATTAGCTTCCTGATCTTGGGTAAATTACTCAGAGTTTCTTCATCTGAAGATGAGGATAATACTGCTTCTTACATCACAGTGTTGATTTAAATAATATGATAATAAAATTTTTTTAAAACATAGTACCTTATCCCACTTAGTAGACATATATAAATTGTCTACCCAGTAAAGGAATTTGGTTTCAGTAAGAAAATGCCAAACTCAGAGCTTAAAGAATCATGCCTAAGCTAACAAAACAGGAAAAATGAAAAGGTTTTCATGGGTACACTACATTCCAGTTTTTTTTTTTAATTGAGTTAGAGGTTCCTTTGAATTTTGTGCTGATGATCAAGTTGTACATGCAGAAGAGTGGCTTGGTTTTATTTGCCTGGTTCTTCACTGGAAAGGAAATTCATTGTTTCTGGAGAAGGTGAATAAGCAACTTTATTTATGAGCTAAACATGTAACCAATAATCATGGACTTTATAAGAATGTAATTCCATTGTCATTTGCTAAGTAGTCATCATTTTTGGTTGACTGGTCAGATAACAGCATTTATTCTTCCTGTTTTTCCTCAATTCTTTCATAAAATAGGTCCCAAATATACCTCAGGAAGCATTGGACAAATTGTTATCATTTACACACAAACTCAGAGAGACCCAGGATCCAACGGTAAGTGTACACTTTTCCCACAGGATTTTCTATTGTTGACATGTTGCTGCCTTGAAAGCAGTTTTTAAGTTGGTATTTTTATCTCCTTATGCTATGCTCTGCACTCTTCATATTTGTAACTCTCATTTCAGTGACTTTAACATTTCTTCCAGCTCCTTGTGGCTCATGTCATAGAGAACTTCAGAGGACTATTGGTGGCTCCTGTGGCTTCTGGTCTTTTCCCTCTGTCTCCATCACTGAGCAGAGTCATCCATTCTTACAGCTTCAAGTCCCATCTCTAAGTTAATGCCTGTGTCTTTATCTTCTGTTTCCTGATTTATTCTTTGTATTTCCATCCCTGGATGGCATATTGGAAGATAAAGGGTATACTAACTCCGTGAAGTCTCTGTTTTCATCTGTAAAATAGGAACATTGCCATCTACCTCATAGGAAGGTTGCAATGATTAAACATAAAATGTATGTAAAGAATCTCTTCATGGCTGGCACCAGTGGTTCGTGCCTATAGTCCTCGCTGTTTGGGAGGCTGAAATCAGGAGGATCATGGTTGAAGGCCAGACCAGGCATAAAGTTAACAAGACCCCCACCTCTAAAATAACTAGAGGAAAATGGACTGGAGGTGAGGCTCAAGCAGTAGAGCTCCTGCTTGGCAAGTGCTAAGCCCTGAGTTCAAGCCCCAGTCCCCAAAGAAACATAGAAGAAAGAATCTCTTCCTTAGTTGCTGCTTAATAAATGTGAGTTTTTCTTGCTTTTAAACTGAATACTTTGAGATCACCATAAATTCGACATACACAGCTAAACTATCTTTCCTCTTTAAGTTTATCCATGTTCCTGATTTAATTTTGAGACCTTATTAGTATATCAACTTATATAAATCAGAAACTTGACATCTTTGTTGTTTCCTTATTTTCATGTGTCTTCACTTAATTCAAAAACAAAGCTCTCCAATTTAGCATCTTGAGGTTACATTTTTTTCTCTTATCTGCTAATGACCATCCTGTTAGCTGATTTTATAATCTTTCTCCTGGGATATTGTGTTTTCTCTTTACCAATAATTTATCACCACATAGCCCTCTGTTACTTTCTTGTAGCCATTTTAACAAATTGCCATAAATTGGTGGCTTAACAGCACAGAAATTTCTCTGGACAGTGAAAGTTGTCCAAAATTCATAGTTTTAGAGTTGATGAAAGACTCCAGGGGAAAATCAGCTCCTTACTTCTTCCAGTTTTTGGTGGCTGTCACCATTCCTTGACTTGCAGCCTCATCATTGCACTGCCTCAATTTTCCCATCACTTTCTCCTCTGTATCTGTGTCAGATCTCTCTCTGCCTCCCTCTCACAGTAATGCATAGGATTGCATCAAGTGTTCAGCCCAATTATTCAGGATAATTCCATTTCAAAATCCTTAACTAAATCTCATCTGTAAAGACATTGCCATAGAAAGTAAATTCATAGGTTCCAGAGATTATGATGTGGTTGTGAGTATATATGTGTGTGTGTATGTGTGTGTATGTGTGTGTGTGGAACATGGTGCCATTTTCCAGCTATCAAAGATCTCCTGTTAATTACTTGTGGACCTTATCTCATCTTTTCCCCTCACTTATTCTTCTCAGCTATACTATTCTCCTGGTTGTTTCTTGAAACTAGTGCCTGCCTCAGGGCCTTTGCTCCTGGGGTTTCCTTTGCCTAGATGGCTCCTCCAAGATAGCTGCAGGTTTAACTGCTTGCCCCTTTCAGATTTGCTCACTTGTCACCTTTTCAATAAGGCTTTTCTAAAACAGTCTATTTTGTTTGTTTTTTTGCAGCACTGGGGTTTGGACTTGGGGCCTCAGGATTGCTAAGCAGGCACTGTACCACTTGAGCCACTGTACCAGCCCTGAAGCAGTCTGCTTTAGAGTCACATTTCCTCCCCATTTCATCCCTATCTCTCTGTCTGCCTTAAGGTTCTATGTAAAGCTTATGACCTTTGGACATAATAGACATGTTTTGACTCACTTTTGTTTGTCTGTTTGCCCTCACTTTTTTATATCACTGGTGTAGGAGTTTTGTTTGTTCTTTTCCCCCATGCTATCTCCAGAATCAGGAACTTTGTCTGAAACACAGCCAATATTTAACAGGTTTTTTTGTTCTGTTTTGTTTTTTGGCAATACTGGGGTTTGAACTCAGGACCTCATGCTTGTTAGGCAGGTGCTCTACCACTTGAGTCACTTCTCCAGGCCTAACAGGTCTTGTTGAATTAAAGAATGAATGAATGAGCTTTCCATATTGTTCTTAGTGTGATTGTTAATCTGTTTCTGAATTCTTCCTTTCTTTAAAACTGTTAGGTGATTTGTTCTGACTGTAGACTGAAGCCAGCCTGATCTGTTTCTGCTGCTTTTCCAGCCTCTCTTCCTATAGACTCAGTTGAAGCTCTCTTGGCTCTGCCCACCTTTGCCTTCTTGCTACTTTTTTTCCAGAGCATATTCAGATGTCTTACCCTTGGATGATGCCCTGAGTGTGCTTTCTCCCCATCTACTTGTCCCTCAGATCCCCAATTCTGAGTCCTCAGGAAGAAGTTACTCCATTTCTACTCTGCTTTCATGGCACATGGCATATACTTCTCGTATGGACCATTGCAGATCCATTAGTTTATCTCCCCAATTCAGATTTGAACTCCTTGAGTCTAGGTCTTGCTCATTCTTTTGTTCCTATCTCCCAGCCTGCTGCTTGGCAAATGTAAGACATTTAAATCTTTCAGAAATGAAGGAACAAATTGATTAATTAATAATTTATTAACAGATCATCCCTAGAGTTTTCTTTCCTGAGAATGTTACATTTTTATGAGCAGTAATTCTTTTAAGAGGAAAAGAAAAATTATTTTTGATAATTTCTAATATCTTTTTTATCTTTAAACTGAGATAGTATTAATCATGCTAACATGAAAAATCCTTGAGGTGTGCTTTTAAAATTGCATAACCATGGTAACTCAGGGAATGTGTTTCACATTCTCTCTTCTCTGCAAGATAAAACCAATTGCCCGTGGCTCATGTTGGAGTTCTACTTGGGAGGTTGAGAACAGGAGGATCACAGTTTGAAGCCAGCTGGGCAAACAGTTTGTGAGACCCCCATCTCCAAAATAACTAGAGCAAAATGGACTGGAGATGTGACTCAAGTAGTAGAGCTTGCAAGAGTGAGGTCCAGAGTTCAAACCCCAGTACCACCAAAAAAAAAAAGAAAAGAAAACAAAGAAATTTGATATTACAGCCAGGTATGGTGTATATGCCCTGTAACCCCAACTATGTGGGAGGTGGAGATAGAAGGATTACTGTTCAAGGCCAGGCCAGGCCAAAAAATAAAGAAAAGTTTGCCACCACATTCAGCTTTTATTGGTTGAGAAGAGGGTCCCTTGAATTTTTTGCCCAGTCTCGCCTGGAACCATGATCCTCCTGATCTCCACCTCTAGAGTAGCTAGGATTATAAATGTGAGTCACCCCTCCTGGCCACATTAGGAGCTTTTCAGTTGAGGTGTACTCAATTTTTAATTGATAATATGAGAACAGAAATAAATGAACCTTTTATTTCAACACTTAAATGGCTCACCATAAAGTTTAGTTTTGATTTTTTTAAACAATGGACATTATTGCAAAGCATTTTGGTGCTATCAGCTGAAAGAGTTGCTATTCTTCAAATTGATGAGAAATCCTCACTGATGACTGGAATGAAATGTGAAGCCTGAATTCAGTGTTACGCTTAGAATGAGATTAGAATGTTGGCCCTAGACAGTTACCTTAGGATTTAATGTGACTCTTGTCATGAGAATCCTCTTTAGTCATTTTCTAGATTTTTCATGATTGAAATAAGAATTTCTGATGGTCTTAGATATTAAGGATGGGACTTTCTGAGTCATCCCTAATGTCTGGTCCTTTTAATCACTCAGCTGAATCTCACTCTTAATTCCTCCTTTCTCCTATGCAGTCAGTTGGCAAGTCCTTGGAGCCATTTGCTTTTCTTTTCTCCATTCTTGTTGCCATACTCTTACTATAGGACTTAATCTTTTTCTAGACCGATGAATGATGTAGCTAGCCTTCTGTTTCCTGTCTTAGGTCTCTCTGTCCTTCAATTTACTTTACATACCGTTCCTGATATAAGTCTGATTCTAAAATGATATTACTGCTTTGCCCATAACAAAGTATTATTGCCTTCAAGAATTCAGTCAACCTTCTCAGGGTATCATTCATAGGTCTTTATCATTTGTGAGCAAGCCTTCCAACAGGACCCCAAAGTAGAGCAGGGCTCATGCCCTCCCATTCTACTTGCATTTATGTTCCTTTTGCCTTCGTGTCCTTGTTCATAGCATTTCTCCTGCCTGTTTGAACATTTTAAGCCACTGTAACAGCTGTCAACTATTTCACTTATTTTAGCATTAAATTATATGCTATTTTGAAATATAATTTATGGTTTCTTATATTTAAATACTGTCTCTATGTCTAAAATGCAAATTTCTTGAAAAGAAGATGGACCAAATGTTTGTATGTAAATGCATTCTTTGAAATCTAGAATTTGTTTTTTAACAGGAAACCAAAAGTCTATGCCGTAGATGGCAGTCATGTTCCCAACCCACTTCCCAGAGGACTGTTTAACTCATGTTGTAACTGAAATATAACACTAATAACAGCAGACCAACATCTCACAGAGTTGTGAAATACATGTGGAAGGAGAAATCAATTCATTTTTTTCTTCTTTGGAACGTACAGAGATGACCTCAGGCAAAACTTTGAAATAAGCAAATGTGCAATGTCTCTTTCCTCTCATTCACTCTGAATCCTCTATTAATTTAATTGAGTTTGCTTCTCTATCCCCTAAGGTGCTCAGGGGCACTAAATTGCCTTTGTCACTCCCTGTGGCATTTCACCTGACCTGCTGTGCCTTCCCAAAGGCCCAGTCACTTCAGTAGCACTTTTCTCCTCTGCTGATCTGAGCTGGGAATGAGGCCAGTAATAATCTCATTCATTGAAATTTTGCTAATATCTCGTCCTGGTCCTCTGATTTTACTCACTGTGAAGAGGCTGTTTTAATAATCTGCCACTTGTCAAATGCCTGTATTTTTCTGACCTGTGCCAAGTGATTTAGAATCATGTTCTAATTTAATCCTCAGAGCAGCCTTAAAGACGAGGCATTGTTATTGCCATTTCAAAGATGAAGAAACCGAGGGTACAAAAGGTGATGTAATTTGTCAAGCTGACACAGCTAATAAGTAAGAACCCAGCTTGTCTAACTTTAAAACCTATACACTGAGACTATACTTTCAGGGATATTTCTACAGTTTGTTACTAAAACCTATAAACTTTACCATCATATCATACTGCCTGCCAAGAGAATTTCAAGTGCAAGTTGGCAGATATTTATTGAGTATTTACCATGACCTAGGTTCTATATTAGCAACTCTGAGAGTGGAATTTGGAGACTGTGCATGAAAACAAAATGAAATTATCCTGCTATTATAGGGAAGATTCCAAATGGCAAGTGACAAACTGCTTTACACCTCTGTGAACAGCTGCCTAAATTATCTGCAGTTCCTCTTTTGTATTCAGAAACCACAGATAGAATTGAAGCTCAAGCATTTTCACATTATCTTCATAAATTGGCTGTGTAACCAAAAAGTCAATTCTACCTAAGGATTATTAATAAAATAGTTGTAACCTGTATTATATCACATCCTTCCTATATCCAACCTTTCTACCCCAACATGTGCGTATAGCACTTAGCACAATTAAATACTTTATTTGAATTAAATTGATAAATACTTTTTATACATTTCAATCATCTTCAATGATATTTTAAGTGTAAATTTATTTATCTTTTTTCTTTCACTTTCTATTTATTTTTATTTGCAGTTCATTAACAACACATGTTTAAATTTGGCTTTATTCCTCAGGAATAATGAATTCTACTATGATACCCATCTAAAGGGACCTTAACAAGTTGAAGCAAGATTCTTAACAGGCTGTCTTTGCCTTTTGATAGGCACAATCCCTGGCAGCATCCCTTTCTACCAGACAACTCTTGCGGATATCTCGTCGGCTGTCACAGTATCCTAATGAAAATCTTCACAGTGCTGTTACTAAAGCCTGTCTTTCCAGGTAACCACAGTCTCCTTTCTTACCAAATACAAGTCTCTGGGTCTTTGCTAAAGTAATAACAAAAGTTTAATTGGTAGTCTACATTCGCAGGTTTGTAAAATGTATTAATCTGAATATATAACTATTTCACTCTTGCCCTCAGTTATTAGAACTTACTTAGGACAATATTCTATCTTTTTTAGGCATAAATGCAATTTTAAGGCTGGAAGTGTAGCTCAGTGGTAGAATGCATGCTTAGCATGTGTAAGACCCTAAGTTCAATCAAAACTAAACTAAAATAATTCCATTTTTTTTTAAATTTAAGAAGTATTTTGTAGATGAGAAGATTGTTTTAGTTACCTGCTCAAGTCACACAGTAGGAAATGGCACCTTTGGGATTTAATGGTGGCTCAGATATTTTCTGAGGTAGGGCTCTGAAGTATTATACTTGCCACCTCCCAAATTTGCATTAGAAGTTTCCATGCTGGATAGAACTGCTCCCTTGTGTAAATTTAACAAAACTAACATCTCTTCAGTCTATACTAATAGTTTTTATGTCAATTAGGAAGTGATTATAAAACATTGGCTTGCAGAGTTTTCTTACAGAATCACATTTGCATGAAGTTGTTCTTAAAAAAGTAATAAGAAAAGATTGAGAGAAATCCCCAAGAGGTTCAGAGTTTTCTTTTAGACTCTTCTCATATGATCTAACATTTTCATATTTTAGACTTTTTATATGGTTTTTGTCCGTTCATTCCTTTATGAGAAGAATTAAGAGAGAATCTATTTTTTGCTTAGGAGAATCTGTAATTGCCCTCTGTAACTCTTCAGTATAGTAGACAGTTTTTCTTGTAGCTAAATTAAATTCCTTGTGCTACAGCTTGAGTTTGTTCTATCTGTGGTGTATCCAGCTGAACTGAGACTCCAGTATCTCTAGAGTAATTCTTTGACTAACTAATAATTATGAGAAATAGCATAATTCATTCTTTTTTCTTAAATAAAAGAATATTAGACATAAATGAAATTTTGAAAAAAATGCTTATTTTTCAGAGTTGCAAACTAAAAAAATTATGAACAGAAAGATAGTTTTGTCTTAGACAGGACTTGGTTGGAGATAACAGATTGTAGAAATAAATGGACAGTGCTTAGCAAAGTAAACAACTTTAGGCTTTAGGGAAAATAATACTTTGAATTCGTTAGAATGAAATAATCACACCTAAACCATTTTACAATCTGTAACAGGTGTACTGGCAGTTGAATCAATGTTCAGTTTCCTTTGTTTAAAAAAATCAGAGTAAGTCAAGTAATGAGAATTGATCTAAAAAACAAACAGCAGTGACCTAAAGTGGGAGAAGAACTATAAAGATGCCTAAAGGATTTGAGAATGTTGACAACTGGCAAAATTTAATTTATTGCAATTCAGTCACACAGCCTACCTAGAAGATGTGAGCACATTTTTAATAAAGGTCAGGAAGAATTGAGGAATGAATTTCTGTCAGATGTTTTATTACCTCCTTTGGTTACATATTCAAGACAATATTGAAAAGAAGTAATTTCCAGGTGATTCCTTATTTCTCCTTCTGTTTGGAGTAGAAAATTTAACAGACTTCTAAAACATGAATTTTTTAAAAATTTGTAAAAGCCAAGGCTGTAGAAAACCAGCAAAAAATATGAACAAGATATACTGTAGTAAATATCCTCCCTGTCTACTTCCCAATTTAGAATTCTGAGTAAAACATAATAAATAAGTAGTTGTTTATACTTATCCAAATTTTTGAGGAAGAAATATGTCACAGGTATCAGAAATGAAGTAGGACTAGAGAAAAGGTTAGATCAAAAAGAATTAACCTAGAAGGTAACACCCACGCACAGGAAATCAATGTGAGTCAATGCCCTGTATAGCTATCCTTATCTCAACCAGCAAAAACCCTTGTTCCTTCCTATTATTGCTTATACTCTCTCTACAACAAAATTAGAAATAAGGGCAAAATAGTTTCTGCTGGGTATTGAGGCGGGGGAGAGGGAGGGGGTGGGGGCAGTGGGGAGAAATGAACCAATCCTTGTATGCACATATGAATAATAAAAGAAAAATGAAAGAAAAAAAAAAAAAAGAAATGAAGTAGGGCTGAAGTTGCCATAGGACCAGCAGTTCCACTTCTGGCTATACCCAAGAGAAATGAAAACATGTTCATACAAAATCTTATATATGAATATCCGTAGCAATATTGTTTACAATAGCTAAAAAGTGCAAGTAACCCAAATGTTCATCCACATCTGAATAGTTAAATAAAATGTGATTTACCCATAAGTGGAATATTCTTCAACAGTAAAAAGAAATAAAGTACTGATACATGTTATAACATGGATGAACCATGAAAATATGCCAAGTGAAAAGCCAGACACAAAGGGCCATACATAGTATGTTCCTACTTTCATGAACTGCCCCTATGTATATGGCCTAAGGTAATTTTAAAATTAGGAAAAATTGAAAGCTGGAAGTCTGGGATAGAGGAGAGAAGGTGGATTGAGAGATAAACTAAACAATAAGCAAAGCCTTTGGAATGAAGAATGTAGTCATTAAAATAAAGGAAACAAGCCCAGTGAGCAAGTAAGCAGTTAAAGAGACAATGAGTGGAGGGAGAGCAGCCTGGCACACAGCACAACAAGTTAAAGAGATGAGCAGTGTGAAAGGACTTGGAATAGACAGTAGGGTGGATGCGAACTCCAACATCTGTTTAATAGAACGTTGTTGCTTTCTTTTGATGCTAGGGATTGAACAAAGAGCCTCGTGTATGCTAGGCAAGTGCTGTACCACTAAGCTACACTCCAAGTCCTCTAATATAATTTTAAGAAGAGAGAGAAAGTCGGGCACTGGTGGCTTATGCCTATAATCCTAGCTACTTGGGAGGCTGAGTTTGGGAGGATCAGGGTTCATAGCCAGTCTGGACAAATAGTTCAAGATACCACATCTCCAAAATTACCAGAGTAAAATGGACTGGAGGCATGACTGAAATGGTAGAGTGCCTGCTTTGCAAGCACTGTGCTCCAAGTTCAAACCCCAGTCTCACCAATAATAATAATAATAATAATAATAATAATAATAATAATTTTCCAAAGAGATGATAGATGATAACTAGGAATGTTCCAGAACAGAAAGATATGAGTCTATAGATTGAAAAAGTGTATCAGTTTCAAGTAGGACAAGGAAAAACAAATCTACCCCTATGTTTTGTGATGATACTAGACATCAATAGACAGACCTAAACATTTTGAGAGGAAATATGTACATATATTACACTGACAACTTTAGATCAGCAGCAGCAGATTCTGGAAGGACTAGGTGATATCCTGAAAGCATTACAGGAAAATAATCCTCAATCTTAGCCATCTCTTTCTAGCTAAATACATTTACAGGTGACGACTGTGTTTATTACATTGTGGAAAGAAGTACCAAAGTAATTACTTCAGCACAAATCAATCCAGAAGGAGAGACTGACATGCTAGAGACTGTGAAGAAAATAGGTCTTGTTACATTTAAATATTTTATGAAAATTAAATTAATAAAATGAATATTAATTTGGGTGAGCACGTAACAGCAGGGTGAAACTGTAATACTAAACAAGAGAATACAGGACCTGAGAAAGAGCTGAATGCTTTTTTTTTTGATGGGACTGGGGTTTGAACACAGGACTTTGGTTCTTCTGTTTTCTAGGACAAGAACAGATGTATTGAATCAGTTTATACTTTGTTAGTTCAAATATATATCTATTTGAATATTTGAAGATATTTTTGTGTTAACAGCAAAAGATATTTCCAGAAGATCTCTGTCCTTGTGCTCTGGCATGGAAGAATCCAAGCAGAACACCTGTATAATTGAGGTTTATTAAAAGTTAGGGAAGGGAAATACAGCTGGAAGCTGAGAAGCAGAGAGCGTGCTTCTTTTCTCTAGGTGTTTTTGAAAACTTATGTTGATCCATGGGAAG